ACAAACCTAAATTTACTACTCAACAGTCAACCATGTAGCGCTTAATGGTGGAGGAATGAAAGGCCACTAGCCAAAGAGAGTGAAAACTCTACAGGAAACCCACCTCCATTCTAACAGTTACATAAATCCTTCATCAATGAATTATATTTTGTACTAACTTTATCATATACATTCTCTTATTTAAAAGATTGGAGTCCAATTAATTCCCACAAAGGGTGTAGGGTGTTTTTTAAAAAGCCACGGCAGCCCTGACTGGTGTGGCTCAGTAGGTTGGACGTCTCCCCTTGGACTGAAATGTCGAAGGTTCGATTCCTGGTCAGGGCACATGCCTGAGTTTCAGGACCAGGTCCCCAGTCGGGGGCTTGCAGGAGGCAGGCGATTGGTATTTCTCTTGCACATCATGTTTCTCTCCTTCTCTTTCTCCCTCCCTTCCCCCTCTCTAAAAATAAATAAATAAAACCTTTAAAAAAAAAAGCCCATGGCAATAGCATCATACAACTAGAGCTATACTGTACCATCATCGATAGTCCCAACTTTGGTGTCTCTTTTCTTAGTCTTCTTTTTTGCAGCTTTTTGAAAAGGTGCAAATTCTACTATTGCAGGGTATTCCTGACCTGTTTAGAAAAAAAAATACCACACTTGTTATAACAAAGAAAATGGCAAGTGGATACCAGAGAGCAGAGAGTCAACCCACTGCTCTCTAGGATTCCTCCAATGGCAGTCATCTGAGAAGTGTCTCCAAACAGGTGTCAGTCACACTGGCCTAACTAAAATCAATATGCTGTGAAACGAGCCCCTGCTGAAAAGATATGGCAGGGAAATAAAACATTCACTTAAGTTCTACTTCTAAAGTGTGATATTTTGATAAAAGGGGGGGGGAATCTATAAGCTAATTTTCATTTAAAATATATTAGAAATCTCTAAAATAAGCAAATTTACATAGAAAAATAAGGTGAGTGGTGGTCTAGAGCTGGGGGGGTGGGGAGAACAGGGAGTGACAGCTAATGGGTGTGGGATTCTCTTTAGAATGAAGAGTGTGTTGTACAATCAGATTGTGGTGACAAGGGCATGACTCTGTGAATGCACTAAAAAATGTGTCAGTGGTGAATTTCTTGGTATGTTAATTACATATAAAGATCATCGACACGTCAACATAAGCCAGAATAAAATACCTAGAATTAACAACAAAGTCTTATAAAGCAGTCATGGAGGAAACATGATTTTGGAAATCCTAGTCAATGCAGAGTCAGACTGGCTTCAGAACTGATATGTTGGAAAAGGGAATAAACCAGACTGAAGCAGAAGGTAACTGGAAGACAGGCTGAAAAAAACAGAAGTGAGACCAGACCATGGAAGACCTTGACTACAGGGTTAAGGAGCTTGGACTTTTCCACAACTATTATCTTAAAACGTTATTTTTAAAAAGATTAATTTCATGGCAATATAACAGACTTAATTATATAGAAATGGAAAACCCTATCAGTTTAGAGACATGGTTGTCTTAGCATTAGGTGACAAGGGCATAAAGTATGACTAAATAAATATTAAAAAAAACAATTTTAAAGATTCATCACTGTTTACATATGGAAGGTCCAAAAAAAGAGTGAGAGGAAAAGGTCAAATACAACTCAGATTTCCAGGATAAGCCACTAGGAAATCACTGCTATCTATTGGAATAAAGTTGGAGTGAAGAAGTAGCTCATTTTGGGGGATCAATAAAAACAGCAGCATCCTGGCTGGTGTGCGCGGTAGACTGAGTGCCAGCCTGTGAACCAAATGGCCACCAGTTCAACTCCCAGTCGGGGCACATGCCTGGGTTGTAGGCCAGGTCCCTGGATGGGGGCGTTTGAGAGGCAACTATACATTGATGTTTCTCTCCCTCTCTCCCTTCCCTCTCTAAAAATAAAATAAGTAAATCTTAAAAAAAAACCAAAAACAACCAGTGGCAATCCGTCTACTTTTGTGGGCATATTCCCTGGCAATTTTCACTAACGTTGAAGTAATACTGAAAAAACAGACCTCAACAAAAGACATCATTCACTATGATAACAAAGCCAAACAGCACCTCAGACATTCTCTGGCTAAATGTTGCAAGCAGGAGAAAATAAAAAGAGAGTTAAGGCATAACTGTGTTTTCCTGCCCTGATGGGTGGCTTAGTTGGTTGGGCATTATTCAGCAAAGTGAAAGGTTGCCAGTTCAATTCCTGGTCAGGGCATGTGCCTGGATTGTGGGTTTGGTCCCTGGTTGGGATGCATATGAGAGATTGATGTTTCCCTCTCTCTAAAAATAAATAAATAAAATCTTTTTTAAAAACAGTTTTTCTCCCTTATAAATTCCTGGATTCAAAGTGGATAGAAAAATACATCATGAAGTCTGCTGTTTTAATTACAAACAACTTAGAATATTAAACAGTATTCCAACAAAGTAACTATTGGTTTAAAGGATTTGAATTAAATAAATGTTGGTCTTTGAAGCAAGATGAGAAGTAAATGTCTAAAACTTGTCATACAAGTTTAGAGAATCATTTATGCATATAGTCAAAACAACAGATTTTCTAATCCAGGGCAAAAAATTTATCACAGGAGGAAATAACAGGAGGTTTCATCAGCTGATCAAACTACAGAAATAACAGGTTAATAAAAATACCCAACGGCTGAGAAAAGTCACAAACTACAAACTATGTATAAGATTGTAATAGGCCACCTGACCAGGTAGCTGTTGGTTGGAGCATCATCCTAATAAGCCAAGGTTGCAGGGTCAATCACCAGTGAGGGCACATACAAGAAGCTCCCTATGAATGCATAAATAAGTAGAACAACAAATTGATGTCTCTCTTTCTCTCTCAAGTCAATAAATAAAAAAACTAAAACAAAGATTGTAATAGGCTTACCAAATGTGTAAAACTCTTTAAATGTTGCGAATTTTATCACCCAGGATTTTAGAAAAGCTATCAAGGCACTGAGAAGACAATGTGATACACACATTGTCTTAGACAAATGACAAAGAAACCTCCTGTTACTGGGACTCACCTTTATTGTCAAGGAATACATAACCATCAAAGCGATCCCTGAACAAAATAATGTCCTCTTGGTTTTTAAAGTTGATGTATGCTCTTGCATACATATGAGGATACAAACTGCAGAGAGGAAAGCAATTATGTAAATGTGCTTGCAGGTATCTGGCTGAATTATAAGAACGCATATGTTAAAGAGACAGGCTCAAAAATCAAACAAGAAACATTGGTGGGATGGAATGGATGAAACATTTTTCATTTACCCCCTCCCTCTTTTATTTATTTTACCTAGTATCATTAGAAAAAAACTCAAAATAATCATGCTCAGGCATAGGCTGAAGATGTTCCTGAAGCTGCTCCTTGGTCAAAGTGGGAGGCAATCTCCGAATTACCACCTTCAGAAATGAATAAATAAAATAAAAATTAGTACACATCAATTTTCTGTCCTATCTGAAAGAATCACCATCCCTGAAGAAAGCTGGTCTTCACAAGAGGAGACTGCTTATAAAAACCCTTATATTACTTTTAAAAAAATAGAGAAAAGTCCTCTAATGCTTAAAATTAATCAAATAGTAATGTGTTTTGTTTTTAAGCTCTTAGAAATAAGAACTGTTTGGAGCAAAGAAAATCTCAGGTTCTGTTAACCCAAAGCCCCACAGTTTAATAGGTTTTCATATCATTTTGTCACCCATTTTTCAATAGGTGTAGTGGAAAGAAACTAGTAGGCCGACCCTGGTCTTCTGTGGGTGCCACAAACTCTTGATTTACTAATATTTTCCTACACTATCAAACACTTTCTAAAACAAAACCCTTTATCATTCAGCATAAAAAATTCAAAACTCTAATACCGGAAATTCCCTAATTGTCTCCCAAATAGAATGAACTCAATGTGGTCCCTAGACCATGAATCCCCCCAACACTCCTTCAACTCTCCTCCATTAATAGTTCCATCACAAACTACTCCCACCCTTGATAGTCCTTTCGCAATTTAGTAATTCTTCGCAATTTAGTAATTCTTCCCAATTAACGTTTTAATTCCTCGTTCCCTTTATTACCACTCCCCCCTCCTCCCATTATCATCCCACCGCTCGGATCCAAACCGTTCTCATCTAGGGATCCTCCCCCTTTCCCTCACTCCCATCCAGGAACTGCCCGGGAGGGAATCCCCCCATTTCAATGGAATGGATGAGACAGAGAGATGCGATTTTTACTCAGGTGAAGAAACAGAAAGGGAGCATGGGACAGGAAGAGGGCAGCCCGATTCCCAACCACCCTCCAACCATCCTCCAACCATCCTCCACGGGTGGTGGCTGCGTCCCGCCCTCTCACAAGCCAAGGGGTAGCCAGGCACCTTGCTCAGGGCCTCTTTCTTCTCCTTGTTCCGATCCTGCTTATCTTCTCCTTTGGTGCTGTCCCCCGAAGCCCCACCGCCGCTGCCTGTGGCCCCCGGGGGAGTTAAAAGGGTTACTCGCTTCTCCTTCGGCCTATGTTCCTTCTCTTCCTTCATGGTCACGGCTTTGCTCCTCACAGTCGAAGCTCCGCCCAAATGGCCCTCCAGCGCACCTTTGATTCCCGGCCCACTCCTGTCACAGTTCCGCCTCCAACAAACGCCTCCCTAGAGATAAGGCCAGCCCCGCGTTCCGTTGGGCTCCGTCAAGATCTCGCGAGACTTCAAGGCTCCCGGCTTGCTTCCGTGAAGAGGATTTAACACCTAGTCTTAAATTCCGGCCTACCGAATTCCCGCACCACCCAATCTCCTCTCGATCTAGACTCCGTAGAGGCCGCGCTCTACACGGTATCGGCACAGGGGTCCCCAATCCCCTGGGCCGCTAACCGGTACGGGACGGTGGCCTGTTAGGAACGGGGCCGAGAGCGCTGCTTGCCTAAGCTCCGCCTCCTGTCTCCGCCCCGCCCACCTCCGAAGGAGGAGGTGAGCAGGGAAGCTCAAGGCTCGCCTGACCTCCCGGACCCCGCCCACGTTTTACGGAAACCCGTCCCTCGTGCTAAAAAAAGGTTGGGGACCAATGTATTAACAAATCCGCCATTGTAACTAGACTGACTCTTTGGTGGACCACAAATTCGGGCATACAGAGCAGTTACCTGCTTCTGGCCAGGAGTTCTAGTACATAAAATAATCCTCTAATTTTGGAAGGTTAGTATTTTTCCGATCAAAACATAGGTTCTGCGGGCTGTACTTGACTACGTGTTCCTCAGACAAACCTGTTGTTATCCAAAGATCACCTCACTAGGGAACTTGTATTTTCGATATTTGATTCTGAGGGGAAACATGTTGCCACTTTAATATGAGTCTTTTGTTATATTATTTTAAGCTGATTATTAAAAGATTCAGGAATAACTATTCACCATACCCTGAACTGCCTGAAAAAATTTAGAGAGGGGACCTGCTCGTAGAAGGGAGCTATTGTCAAAATACTATGAACTAGTGTGTGGGACAGGAAGGGACCTAGGGAAGCCCTCTCCGTGTCGCATTATTAAAGATGACCCAGCAAACAGTTTTTTAACAATTTCATGTGCATGTAAAATTGCCTTCCTGACCTTTGAAATGTTGTTTGTGTTATATATGTGTATTTTAATTTTTGTTACTGATTTTTAGAGAGAGGAAGTGGGGCAGAGAGAGGAAAAACCCCCATCAATCTGGTGTTCCACTTACTGATGCATTCATTGGTTGATTCTTGCATCCTGTGCCCTGACGGGATTAACAGCAACCTTGGTGTATTGGGATGTCACCCTAACCAACATGAAATTGTTTATGTTAAATTATGAAAACATGAAGAGATTTCATGTCAGATATTAGCGTAGTAATACATTTTATAGATATAGAAGTAAAGGAAGACAATTAGGGAAAATGAGTTTACAGAAATTCAGGTTTGAGGATTTTGGAACTATAAAAACCCCAAATGAAAAAAATCAAAGGATATATAAGAAAAAAGTTAATATCAGAAATGTTTCTTTATGTATGGTAAACAACTACTAAGACTGAAGGAGAAAATGGTTCAGAATGAATATGTTTTTATTTTCAACTTGGGGAGTGTCCCAAAGATTTTTAAAAGCATTTGATGTTAACACATCTCCTAGTTCACGTTTTCTCTTTATGGATATTAGAGATCCTTTGCCTTTTGACTGTTTCAAATAGCTTAAACTATTGTTGAGATAATTATATGAGTAATTAACAACGGTTGAGTTTTAAAATGAAATTGTTGTCATCAGCTAGGAACAGGGTATTCAAAAACAGAAAAGCTTTATTGATGATGTTAAGATGAATAATTTAAAATTAGCAATCCTACAATTTTAAGAAGCTATTTGGATTTTTTTCATAAATCTTAAACTCAACACTAAAGGTTGTTTGCCTAATTAATTTACAAAATTCTTCTACTGCACTCAGTTTTACACAGAAACAAAGGAGTTATCTATTGAATTTTATTTAAGATGAGCATTGCGTTCTCATATCCACCATACATTGTTTAGGCACAAAAGTTGAGTCAGAAAATGTATGAGAGGGGAAATATAGAACACAAGTATTTGAATATTCTGTTCACTCTCAATTAAAAGAAAAAATGGACAATTATTGGACAAAAAGAAAACAGTGTTGGGGACTTAAAATGCTTGGTTCACTTACATACTATACTATAGATTTCTTTAAATATAAATAGTAATAAAATGAATTTCATTTAAATTTTTACAAGGATTTATTAATTTAAAAATACTAATAAAAAAGCTGGAGAATATTTAAGACCCTGTTACCTAAATAAAAAACCTCGTTACCTTACTAATCATCTTTTTTTAAAATTAAATTTATTGGGATGAATAATCATCTTGAAGGTGTTTCCAAGTAAGAGTGAATTTGACTATACTTTGCTCTTTACTGTAAGCAATGAGTGTCTGCTTTATTGTGCCTCCCTGACATTCAGTGTAAGGAGATAACAGCTCTTGTCATAATATTTTACTAAAGAACCTGTCTTTACTCATCCTGTGTTAAGGGCTGCATTAGCTCCAATAGCTTGTAAAATATGTGGAGCTGTGAACAGGTGGCTCAGTTGGAATTCTTCCCATACACCAAAAGGTTGCGGGTTCGATTCCCAGTTAGGGCACATACCTAGGTTACTGGTTCTATCCATATTTGGGGCATATAGGAGAGGCAGCCAATCAATGTTTCTTGTTCACATCGATGTTTCACTCTCCCTAAAATCAGTTAAAAATAAACATGGCCCTGGCTGGTGTAGTCAGTGGATTGAGTGTGGGCCTGCGAACCAAACAACCACGGTTCGATTCCCAGTCAGGGCACATGCCTGGGTTGCAGGCCAGTTCTCAGTGGGGGGCACACAAGAGGCAACCGTACATTGATATTTCTTTCCTTCCCTCCTTCCCTTCCCCTCTTGTGGACTGCTCTGCCTGGTTTCAGGAATTATAACTCCTACCCCCTGTGGCTAAGGATGAGTCAGTGACCTCTGGAATGTGAACCACAGGAGACAAAGCTTGTCTCTGGTAGCAAATGCTGCCTCAGTTTCCTCCCTGCCCCCAAAGCATGGTCAGAAGTCCTTGACAGGTAAGACCCCTCAGAGGAGGGTCAACGTAGGCCAGACAAAATCACTTGGGAGGCCATTATGGAAGAACTTGGGGGGGGGACTGCAACAAGGAGCAATGGGCTCTTGTGCCCCCCTCCCCCCCCCTCCGCTTTGACAAAGCCCCAGTCCCCATGTTCCCTGGGAGAAGTGCTTCCCGGCTCTAATCCCCTTAAGCCTGAATACCTGTTGGGGAGGGGTGCAGCTCCTTGCCTTGCTAGAGCGTGTCTTGGGGAAAATCTGGCTTCACACAGGAAACCCTAAAACTCTTCCTGACAGACTCTGACTCAGACTAAGCCCTCAGATTTCTTTGAAATGTTATCTACTGTTTGATCCTTGCTGCCCTGTAATCCTGTGTATTACAACCCAATAAAAGCCTTTGGAGGAAGGGGCTCAACACCTTTTTCCCCTGAGAAACTGGCCACTGCTCAAGGCCTTTTTCCTCTGGGAAACTGGCCACCTCTCCTCCCCGAGCAGATCATGTCTCAGTCATGTTTACTCTCATCTGTGGCACATGGGGCGACTTGTGAGGAAAGTCCCTCCTTGCCCCCACAGGTGAGAGTAAACATGACTGAGATTTATCTTGAGAGGACTTGCCCCCATACCCCTCTAAAGCTAAATAAATAAATTCTTTATAAAAATTCTAAAAAAAATTAAAATAAACATGTTTTGGAGAATTTCATGATGTCATAAACACGTCCATTGTAGAAAATGGTTCTGGCTCACAAAGAATCTGTTATTAACTTACACAAGTCATGGCAGACTGGCAAACCACAAGTAAATAATAGTAATACTTCTAACGAGATTTATTCACAATGCGAAGTCTTGTTCTTGCATATACTTATTATCCCAACGTTATATATATTTTTAGATTTTATTTATTTATTTAGACAAAAGAAGGGAGGGAGAGAGGGAGAGAAACATCAGTTTGTGGTTGTGTCTCACACACCCCCCACGGGGGACTTGACCTGGCCTGCAACCCAGGTATGTGCTCCGACCAGGAATCGAACTGGCATTCCTTTGGTTCACAGGCCAGCGCTCAATCCACTGAGCCACAGCAGCCAGGGCTGCAGTGTTATATTTTTTATTAAATCATTAGTGTTACCATTATTATAACTATATAAATGTTGTTCATAGTTGAGACATATAGTATTATTATGCTTTTTTCATATGTGAAACTTCGTTTTTCCTGGAGTTAATGATTACTTCAGTTATTTTGTTTGATTGATTTCTTTCCTTGTACCCATTACTAATTTATTTTTATCTTTATTGATTTTAGAGAGAGGGAAAGAGAGAGAGAGAAACATAGATATGTTGTTCCACTTATTTATGCACTCATTGATTGATTCTTGTATGTGCCTTGACTGAGGATTGAATCTGCAACTTTGGCACATTGGGACAGTGCTCTAACCAAAGCTACCCTGCCAGGGCTCCCGCTGCTAATTTTTCAGCCAGTCCCTTCAGAGATGTAAAATTCTACTCCTTAAACTCAAATCAGTCAGGTAGTCTATTAGGTTTTTTGTTTGTTTGTTTAGTCTGGAGACATCTTTCGTCCTGCCATTTACCCTTCTACTCTTGTAAGGACTGAGTGATTTTTAGGCCTGCTACACAGATGTTGTCCTGAAACTTCATTTCTCCTTTCTTGGACTCCCCCGTTTGCTAGATGGCACTGTACTGTCTTTGACCATTTGTATTGTTTCCAGTTTTTGCCGATCATAATGTTGCTTTGTACATTGTTGTCTATGTTTCTGCATGCAAGTATTTCTGTTGGATATTGGCCTCAAAGTGGAATTGCTGGGTCATAATTCGTGCATGTATGAAATTGTGAGCTTGGATGGAAAAATTACATCTTTATTTTCACTAACCATTAAATGAAATTTAGTATGTCCCTCAATTAGGAATGTAAGCAATAAACCATAGCAATATTAGCCATGATTTTGGCCAATAGAAATCATAGATCCTTTCCTAGCACAGTATAGTTGTTGCACGTAATGATAAATACTATTTATTTTTGTTTTAGGTGTGGTTGTTAATAACTGTGAATTTGCTGTACTTTCACTGTTCATCTTTTTCATCTTCTTTTTTTTAGGTAAGTCCTTTTGACATTTCATATAATAAGGGCTTGGTGATGATGAACTCCTTTAACTTGACCTTATCTGAGAAGCACTTTATCTGCCCTTCCATTCTAAATGAGAGCTTTGCTGGATAGAGCAATCTTGGTTGTAGGTCTTTGGATTTCATGGCTTGGAATACAAAAACAAACTAAAAGGACAGCTAGATCAGGAGCAGAACCATAGAAATGAAGATCACATGGAGGGTTAGCAACAGGGGAGTGGGAGGAGGAGAGAGGGGGGAGAAGGTACAGAGAATAAGTAGCATAGATGGTAGGTAGAAAATAGACAGGGGGAAAGGCAAGAAAAGTAGGGGAAATATAGAATCTAAAGAACTTGAGACACGTGGTCATAAATTAAAGGGGGGAATTGTGGGGGAGGGGGTGTGCAGGGTGGAGGGGAATGAAGGGGGGAAATAGAACAACTGTAATGGCATAATCAATAAAATATATTTTTAAAAAATTAAAAAAATACTGTTTACACAGATACCTTCAGTTCCTGAACCTTTCTGAGTTTCTGCACCAAAAACGGGCTTATTGCACGTTGGCTTCCCTCATGAGTATAGTTTCCTAAGTCCTCCATGCAGCTAAGCAAGTTTTATGTCCTTGTGGGTCCATCTCTTTTATAATTACCTATTATCATTTTAGTGGGATTTCAATGTGCAGATGAAAACATGTTCATTATCCATGTTTCCAAAGTATCCTGTATGTCTTTAATCTGTAGTTGTGTCTTTTCTTTGATATTACCTATATATCGGGTTGGCCAAAAAGTCCATAAAATAAATGACACATTTTTCATTTTCACCAATAACTTTATGGATTTGGATATTTTGAGTGTGTTAGCCATCTCCCACGTGGTATAATGTTGATTGTTCTCATTTAATGCCTCAATTTGGTCATTATCAACTTCAACGGGTCTGACAGTGGAGCATTGTCCAATGAGAAATCTCCAGCACGAAACTTTGGAAACCACTTTTGACACAATCAGTCACAGAACCTTCTCCGTACACTGAAGAAATCTTATCTTCTTTTGCATTTCAGTTGCATTTTTACCTTTCTTGAAATAATAAAGCACAATATGTCTAAACTGCGTATTTTCTTCCATCTTCAATATTAAAATAGCTACACAAAAATTCACCAATTTTGATAAGTTTTTAAAAAATGTATGCTGATATGACAGCTATGACAATACAATCTAACTAAATTGTTTCAAATGAAGTTAAGCACAACTAAGTGCTACTAGAACCATTTTACAGAAAAAAACCAACAACAAATGAACTTTTTGGCCAAACCAACATATCTTTCATCTTTTTAAATAGCTTAATCTTGATAGAGGTATGTCTATTATATTAGTCTTTTTAAAGAACCAGCTTTTGGTTTTGTTGATCTTTTCCATTTTATGTGCATTTGTTTTGTTTTATTAATTTTTGCTCTTCTCTATTATTTTTTGTCCCTGTTAGGTTTCTTCTGCTGTCTCTGTAGCTTCACAAATTGAATGCCCAATGCATTATTTTGGAATGTTTTTTAAAGTGCATTTTACACTATAAATTTCTTCATTGTTCCATTTTAGATGCATCTCACATGTTTTTATATTTATTTTATTGTGATCAATTTTAACCTTTTCATGATTCTTATTAAGATTTTCTTATGAACTGATTAGCTATTTAGGGATGTGTTTTTAGTTTTTTTTAAAAATTTTTATGCATCGATTCTAGACAGAGAGGAAGGGAGAGAGAGAAAGAGAAACATTAATTCATTCTTCCACCCATCCATGTATTCATTGGTTGATTCCTGTATGAGCTGTGATCAGTGATCAAACTCACAACCCTGGCACATTAGGATGGAGCTATAACCAAACTACATGGCCAGGCCATATTTTTAGTTTTTTGGCGTATGTTTTGTTTGTTTTTCCTGTCTTTTTAGTGTTGATTTAAAATTTCAACATGTGGTGGCAGGGGAGGAAGGGCAAGAGAATTGGTTTTCCAACTCCTGAGATTTTTCCTCCTTGCCCTCTTTTGATGTTGTATTCTTGTCCACAGGGATATCCAGCCACCACCCCAGGATCCACAGCATCCACAGTGGAAATGTCGCCTGGTACTCTGCTAATTCCACCGTTGTCATTGGTGGCTACACAGTCTGCAGAGTTGGGGTGCTGGAGGACTCCTTAACCCTCTTGGACATGTTTTTGACCATTCTCTTGTCCCCTTGTGGGTTCTTCTGCTGTTTTGCCTTGAGGAGGCTAAGACGTCCCAACTGTGGAGCAAAATTTACCTAAAGGGAACAGCACCCCTGGTTTTCCTGCATTCAGCTGTCTTTTTCTAATGTAAATGTTGTGTACAGTAGCTTTATTTGATTAAGTTTCAGGACTGTTCTGTGAAGGGCGGTAGAATGGATTTGGCATGTGTAAGTTGGGTTCACAGGCATGAGTCATGGAGTGTGGACACGTGGCAATACTGTTCCCATGGTTAATAACAACTCAATAAAGCACCACTTTTATTTTTTGCACTCTTCACTTTGATAGAGGTGAGAAATACTGTTTTAAATAAATGAGATTTATGCCATTTAAGCATTTTTCAACATCCACTTCTACTTTTTTTTCAATTAGCAATAATCACACCTGGGATAAACCTCATTGGCTACAGCACTGCCTCTGTGCAAAGCTCAACATGCATGTGTAATTTTTAATAAGTTTAGAGTTAAAAATTAACTACATTATTCTTTTAAATAATATGCGGAGTTTTCAGTGCTTTAACTCCAGTATTTCCTATCACAACATTCACTTTTTTATGTTATGGTTATAAGTCAATTTGGGTTTCATTCTTTAAATCTCCTATTTATATAAAGAGTACAAATTTAGCCCTGGCTGGTGTAGCTCAGTGGATTGAGCGCAGGCCTGCGAACCAGACAATTGCGGTTCGATTCCCAGTCAGGGCACATGCCTGGGTTGCAGGCCGGTTCCCTGCAGGCCAGTTCCCAGCAGGGGATGCATGAAAGGCAACCATACATTGATGTTTCTCTCCCTCTCTCCTTCCTTTCCCCTCTAAAGATAAATAAATTAAAAAAAATAAAGAGTACAAATTTATGTTTTTAAAAAATCTTCACTAGAGGATATGTGTATTGATTTTAGAGAGAGAGGAAGGGAGACAGAGAAACATCGGCTGGTTTCCTCCTGTATATACCCCAACCAGGGATTGAACCCACAACCTAGGTATTTGCCCTGACCTGGAATTGAACTCACAACCTTTTAGTGACTGGTCGACACTCAACTAACTGAACCACCCAGCCAGGGTAACATTTAGGTTTTGCAAAGTCTTCTACTCATTTCTTTTTGCTCTTTTTCTCCTTTCTTGGTGGTTTCCTTACAAATTTTTTAAATGAAAGTTTAAAAAAATTATTTATTTTTTAGAGAGAGGGAAAGGGAGGGAGAAAGAGGAGAGAAACGTCAAGGTATGGTTGCCTCTCCTGTACCTCCTGCTAGGGGACCTGGCCCACAACCCAGGCATGTGCCCTGACTGGGAATCGAACCAGCAACCCTTTGGTTTTCAGTCCAGTGCTCAAGCCATTGAAGCACACCAGCCAGGGCTAATAACTTTCTTTTTAAAAATTGATTTTAGAGAAAGAGAAGAAGGGGAAGAGAAACATTGATTTGTTGTGCCACTTATTTATGCATTCATTGGTTGATTTTCTGTGTGCTCTAATTATGTATGGAACTCACAACCTTGGCAATCCAGACGACACTCTAAGCAACTGAGCTACCTGGCCAAGGCCGCTTTAATAACTTTCAACCCATTTCCTTCCCCAGTATCTCAATCCCTTTACCTGTTTTTACCTATTATATAATTCCCCTCTTTGTTTCCTTTCTCTCTCCAGTATAGTGTCAATTCCCTGAGGGCATAGATTTCTGTTTCATTCGCTGTGTATCCCAAGCATTTAGAAAAATACCTAGCATGTAGTAAGTACTGAGTTTAAAAAAATAAATTTATTATACTTTCTGAGTTTGTTGAATGAGTATAGGATTCTTGATTGACTTTTGTTTTTCTTAACACTTATTATATCATCTCAAGTATCTTTTTTGAGGTCTGTAGTTATTCTTTTTGTTTTGTTTTTAGAGTTTATTTATTTAGTTTAGACAGAAGGGAAGGGAGAGAGAAAGAGAAGTAGAGAAACATCAGTGTGTGGTTGTCTTTCACATGCTTCCAACTGGGAATTCGGCCTGCAACCCAGGAATGTGCCCTGGCTGGGAATTAAATTTGTGACCTTTAGGTTTGCAGGCCAGCACTCAATCCACTGAACCACACCAGCCAGGGCTGTAGTTATTTATTGTTGCTTTATATGTTGGTTTTCTATCTTATCTCTTAAGATTTTTTTCTTCTGATTCTCTACCGTTTTATTACAATGTCTGGGTGTGGATTTGTTTTCATTTTTCTTGCTAGGTACATGGGGTTGCTCCTTTAGCTTGAAAACTTGCTTTATTTGTTTTATTTTAAAGTTTTTATTTATTTTTAGAGAGAGGGGAAGGAAGGGAGAAAGAGATGGAGAGAAACATTGATGTGCAAGAGAAACATAGATTGGTTGCCTCTCTCACAGCCCCAATTATGAACCTGGCCCACAACCCAGGCATGTGCCCTAGCTGGGAATAGAACCAATGACCCTCTGGTTTGTAGGCTGGCACTCAATTCACTGAGCCATACCTTTCAGGGCAAGACTTGCTTTATTTCTAACAAACTGTGAGCTACCTGTCCAGGGCTTGGGATTGGAGTTTATCAATGAGGTTAGTTTATTGGATCAAACTATTTCATTTGAGGAAACTAGTGAGCTTGAATGATTGTTGGCATTCAAGAAAAATCTTATTTCCTGGCAGAGGAAATATGTTATCTGGAAGCTTCATTCTCTTGTTGGCATTCATATCCCTAAATTTTTAAAAAATTAAATAAATTCCTTGCTGCTGTAGCTCAGTGGATTGAGCACAGCTTTCGAACCGAAGCATGGTCAGTTTGATTTCCAGTCTGGGCACATGCCTGGGTTGCAGACCATATTCCCAGTGTGGGGTGTGCTAGAGGCAACCATACACTGATGTTTCACTCCTTCTCTTTCTCCCTCCCTTCTCCATCCCCATCTCTCTGAAATAAATAAAATCTTTAAAAAAAATTAAATAATTTTATTTTATCGTGGTAAGAACACTTAACATGAGGAGCATTTGAGTTCTTACTCCCTGGTGTATGTTGTCAGTTTGGCTCAAATAAACTCTTAAAAAAGAAGAATACTTAACAGGACATCTAACTTCTTAACAGATTTTTCAGTGTACAATACAGTAGTGCTTACTGTTGGCACAATGTCGTACAGCAGATTTCTATTCATCTTGCATCATTGAAACTTGATACCCATAGATTAGCAAGTCCTCATTTTCCCCTACCCCCAGCCCTTTACAACCAGCATTCTGTTCTGTGCTTCTATGAGTTTGACAATTTTAGATACCTCATCTAACAGGAATCACATAGTATTTGTCCTTTTGTGACTGGCCTATTTCATGTAGCATGATGTCCTAAAGGTTCACCCATGTTGTCGCATATGGCGAATTTCCTTCCTTTTTTAAGACTGAATAATATTGCATTGACTTTACATACCATATTTTCTTTATCCATCTGTGGATGGAGATATAGGTTGTTTCCACATCTTGGCTGTTGTGCACAGTGCTACAACGAACATAGGATTTCTGCTATCTCTTGGAGAGCCAGATTTCAATTCTCTTGGCTCAATACCAAGACTGCTACATCACATGGTAATTCCATTTTGTGTTTTTAACTATATTTTATTGATTATGCTATTATAGTTGTTCCATTCTTTTTTACTTCCCTTTATGCCCCTCTACCCTGCACACCCCTCCCTCCAGCAATCCCCACCCCCTTAGTTCATGTCCATGGGTCATACATATAAATCCTTTGGCCTCCCCATTTCCTATAATATTCTGAACCTCCCCCTGTCTATTCTTTACCTACTAATTCTGCTTCTTAATCTCTGTACTTTTCCTCTCCTTCTCTCCCTCCCCCTCCTTGGTGATAACCCTCCATGTGATCTCTATTTTTGTGACTCTGTTCCTGTTCTAGTTGTTTGCTTAGTTTGTTTTTCTTTAGGTTCAGTTGTGGACAGTTGTGTTTGTTGTCATTTTCGTGTTCATATTTTAAAAAATATTTTCTTTCTTTATTTTTAGGTAGAGGGGAAGGGGAGGAACAAGAGTGGGAGAGAAACATCAATGTGTGGCTGCCTCCCATGTGTCCCCCACTGGGGACCTGGCCAGACACCCAGGCATGTGCCCCAATTGGGAAATGAATCAGCAACCCTTTGCTTCTCAGGCCCGTGCTACACCAGCCAGGGCTAGTGTTCATATTTTTTATCCTCTTTTTCTTAGATAAGTCCCTTTAACATTTGATATAACAAAGGCTTGGTGATGACGAACTCCTTCAACTTGACCTTATCTGAGAAGCACTTTATCTGCCCTTCCATTCTAAATGAAAGCTTTGCTGGGCAGAATAATCTTGGATGTGGTTCCTTGCCCTTCATGACTTTGAATATTTCTTTTGTGCCTCTTCTTGCCTGTAAGGTTTCTTTTGAGAAGCCAGTTGGTAGTCTTCTAGGAACTCCTTTGTAGGTAATTGTCTCCTCTTCTCTTATTGCTTTTAAGATTCCCTCTTTATCTTTAATCTTGGGTCATGTAGTTATGATGTGCTTTGGTGTGTGCTTCCTTGGGTCCAACTTCTTTAGGACTCTCTGAGCTTCCTGGACTTCCTGGAAGTCTATTTCCTTTGCCAGATTGGGGAAGTTCTCCTTCATTGCATTTTCAAATAAGTTTTCAGTTTCTTGCTCTTCCTCTTGTCCTTCTGGAACCCTTATGATTCAGATGTTGGAACATTTAAAGTTGTCCTGTAGGTTCCTAAGCCTCTCCTCATTTTTTTGAATTCTAGTTTCTTCATTCTGTTCTGGTCGAAAGTATATTTACTCCTTCTGCTCCAAATAATTGATTTGACTCCTGTTTTTCTTCCCTTCGCTGTTGGTTCCCTATATATGTTTCTTTATCACTTTGCATAGCCTTCACTTTGTCCTCTATTTTGTAGCCGTACTCAACCATTTCTGTGAGCATCCTGATTACCAGTGTTTCGAATTCTGCATCTGATAGCTTGACTTTCTCCTTGTTGCTTAGTTCTTTCTCTGGAGTTTTGATCTGTTCTTTCATTTGGCCCATATTTCTTTGTTTTGGCATGCCTGTTATATTGGAAGGGGCAGAGCCTTAGGTATTTGCCAGGGTAGGGCAACCCAGGTTGCTGTGTTGTGGTGCTGTTTTTGGGAGAGGGGTCAGAGAGGGAATAATGTCACTTCCTCAGCAATCATCTCACTTTCAGTCACTTCCCCTAGTACCCACAAGCAAATTGTGCCTTTTTGGTGCTGATTCCCAGGTGAGTGGGCTTGTGTATGTTCTGGGACCCCATAGGCCCCTTCAGTGAACTCTCTTGTGAGGCTGGGAGTTTCTCCCACTGCTGCAAATCCCACAGGTTTTTATAGCCTGAGGTTCTGAGGCTTTATTTCCCTGTGCTAGAACCCTGGGTTCTGCTGAGTATCTCACCACCTAGTTGTTCTTCCTGGTTCACCCACAGGTGAATATGGAACCCCTGGGTCTGCCAGCCGCTGACTTGACATGTGTCCTCTCTGCCCCAGCTGCCTGTCTCTGTCCCTCATACTGATGGGGGACTCAAATGCAGGAAAAATTTTAGTTTCAGGTAATAGCTAGTAAGCTTAGAAATCAATGTATATAAAAGCTATTGTTTCAGGATCTGAAGATATGCTCAACTTGACTCCAGGAGATGGTAAACAGTACCACTATTGTGTCTCAGGAGGACTGCAAGCAGTCGAGATGGTATCTGAGCCATTGTTCTCCAGGGTGAGATGCCCACTGCCCAGGGCGCAGATGAAAGAATGCCGCAGCTTTTTATATGATTGATTTTTTCCCTGAATTCCAATCCCCTTGCCCACACTTTTCTACTCGGTATAAAAAAGGTTGGTTTAAAATGGAATTTAAGATGGTCCACTAGGGTACGAACCCACAGTCTTCTCAGATAGTTGGCCATCCGAATAAAGCACCCATAGATTCATTCCCTATCTCTGCTTATTGGGTCCGGTAGGTGACAGGAAGCATGAACACTAGCTTTTCAGGTTTCACTTTAACCCAAAAAGTGAATGTTTCTTTTTTAATTCCTTGGTGGTCAGACTTCCATACAGTTTGATTTTCTGGCAGTTCTGGTTTGTTTTTTGTTTTTACACTGGTGGTGGTCCTTCTTTTGGTTTTGCAAGGGGGTGAAGTGTATCCACCTACACCGCCATCTTGGCCAGAAGTCTCATTTTTAAATTTTTGAGGCACCTCAATACTGTTTTCCTTAGCAGCTGTGCCAACAGTATACAGTGGTTCCAATTTCTCCACATCCTCACCAACAATTCTTGTCTTTTGTTCTTGTTATTGTTGCTGCTGTTGTTAATAGGTATCCTAACAGGTTTGAGGTGATATTGTGGTTTTGATTTGCACTTACCTGATGATTAGTGACATTGAGTATCTTTTCCTATATCTGTTGAGCACTTGTATGTGTCTGAGATATGTCTAATCAAATCTTTAGCCCATTTTTAACTGGGTTGTTAGTTTTTTTTTAAACTGATGAGTTATAGGAATTCTTTACATATTTTGGAGACTACTCCCTTATCAGATATATAGTTTGCAAATATTTTCTCCCATTCTACAGATTGCATTTTTATTCTGTTAATTGTTTCCTTTGCTGTATAGAAGCCTTTTAGGTTGATGTAGTTCTATTTGTTCATTTGTGCTTTTGGTGTCATTTCCATGAAATCTCTGTCAAGACCGATGTCATAAAGATTTTCTCTTATGTTTCTTCTAGA